TATATAATCCATCCAATTTCTATCCAAGAACTTACCATTAGGAATAAGTACCCTTACCTATTACTTACTACGGACATTTACTACAATACTTTATGGGAATGCCCGAAAGTCGAAAGTGTGTACCTTTGTAACCAAGAAGAGCTGAAGCAAGAAGAATCATGTGTCTATGACCTGATTACTGACCTACCACAACAATGTCCTTTCACTAAAGTGAAATATGAAAAACCAACAGTGAGACAACTCCCGAATGGACAACTATTAGTCATTCCTAAGAAAAGTCTGACGATAGTTATTCAATGTGACAAGAAAAACCAAATGGAAATAATAACCAATCCAACGCTAGTTTCTTTTGAGAAATGCTTTGTGAAAATACAAAATCAAACATTTTCAAAAACCAGCGAGAACTTCAATTTTGAACTGAAGATTCCAAGAATAGTCATCCCTGAACTTCCAGAGAACGAAACAACATTGGAACTTCAAGAAATCAACCAAGAAGGCTTAGAAGAAGCCTTCAAAACGACGAAACAGATAAGAGTTCACAATCTAAAAGAATTGTCTTTTGAACACTCTTATTTAAACACATATGTAATCATAGGTTTAAGTCTTGCTATTTTATTTTTAATTTTATTGCTTTACTGTTTTAGGAAGTTTAAAACTTCAGAAAAAGGTTGTGCAAATGTGCAAATTGAATTGTCTGATTTGAATTCACAACAATCCACGTTTGCAACATCTTAAGGAGGGAGCAGTTATATTAACCAATTGCCACGCTGATTTATAATCAATTATCTATTTTTTATATGCTTTAATCTACGTCGGTGTCATTATGACACATTTAGCATTGTCATTTGAATGTCATTAGGTCCTTCATAATAGCACTAGTGCGCTTAAGAACTCATAAAAACACCCAAATTATGGAATGAAAAATATACAAAAAGAAAGTTAGTTACCAAAAGAACCTTTTCATTGATGCTGTCTCGATATTCGAAGGTACACTTTCTAACTCAGAATCACCAATATTAATATTATTTTCCAATATAAAACTGAATTTATGGTACAAAAATAGACTCCAATATTGAAGCTGCCAAAGTCAAAATTCTGAAAATCAACAAGCATGTTCCCGACTAGTACAGGCACCTGCTGAATTTTGAATTTTAATTTGAAAAGTTTTTGCTATTTCAAGGGAAATCAAATCTATTTGGATGATCGTAGATTAAATTTTGAATGATACACGTTCGATATGAACTTAATTAATGAAATTTCTGTAACTAAACCACTCGGCTAGCGCCTCGTGGTTTAACGTTACACGCGTTTCATTATGGTGTTCATATCGAACTAGTATCATTAATAACTATAATGTGCTTACCCCTTTCCTCTATGACTTTTTAAATACATTGTTGTAAAGTAAACATCAAATTGCTATGTCGGCATTAAATGTTTATTTAAGCCGACGCAGTCCCATAAGGAATGTTCATTTGTTTTCTGGCTTTTGCCTGTAGCAATTTGATCCACGTATTTTCTTTTGTCACCTCTGTATTTTAATCAATAAAATAAATGTTTTTTAAAATACAAGTTTCTGAATCGAAAATATAATTATGCTATCAAAATACCTAAAAACTACTTATAGCAAAAAGGCAAATATATAAGGTAAACATATGGTAAGGTAAACACGTAAGGCAAAAAATTGAAAAATAAAATTAACCGCAGTTGAAGGATCATTTCAATAATAAGTTGAACTTTCAACTCAAGAAAAATATCAAAAACTAGAGTGCAGGTAAAAAATAGTCATTTACGTAAACCGATTTAAAGAACAATGGTAGACAGGCATAAGTATGCTATAATAATTTAGTCCAAGAAGCTAGAAAACAAGTAAAGACAGTTGTTATAATTCCCAGAAATTTTTTTTTTAGACACTCGAGCCCCATAAATTAGGCGTCAATTTTTGTAGCCTCTTTTTTAACAAAAAGTATACTACAGTGGCAGCTGTTCGCCAGAAAGCAATATTAGGGTGAGTAAGGAGTGTCTATAGTGGGCGCCAGAAGATTTAAATTTTTAAGTTCCAAATCCTCAAATGAACTTTATCAAAAAAATTCATGACAGAAGAAATCTGGAAAGGAGGTAATCCAAAAATAATTGTAACAACTGTCTGCACTCATTCTTGTTTATTTCATTGAAGCTTTGATGTTTTTTTTTGAAGCCTGAGTGCAAGAAATATCCCCCGTTAAATCTCTTAAACCTAAAAAGCTAAAATTGTCCCTAAATCCTCACAACTAAAAAAGAGCTGAAATTTTCCCTAATAATTCATTGCACCCTGTGCAATGTAACAGTTCAAAATAACCCTTGGCCTGATCATGACCGAAGTTTATTACTTAAAGCCAAAGATTTCAAGGTATCAAGTTAAACTTATAAGTATAAAAAACCTGTTTAATCCATGTCCTTCAGGCTACTAGATCAATGTTCTGCCAATTGAGCTTGATTGAGTTCAAATAAAAAACCCTCATAAGAACCACCATGAAGAAATGCAAAAAGGTGCGGGAGGCTGCGAGCTGCATACTCTTGTAGGTTAAGTGTAGTGGTTTTCGGTGACTAGCACCACTACAGTTGGGGCCCCTATGTAGATCCTTGAAAATCAAGGATCTGGACACGAAATGAGTGGTTCAACCACGAAAATATTGATGGAGGGCCCAGGCCGTCCAATTGCACTTTAAGCGGCGATGGTCTCAAATGAGGTTATGGAATTTTCCGGAAAACAAAAGAAAAAACATTTCCACTAGCACTAGGTCACTATGAGCGTTTCAACTTTACTCATTTGAAGGTAAAAGTCGAGGTAACTTGAGAAAAATTGACTTTCTGAAGGCAAGAGGGACAAAATTAGAGGTCTGTTTCTGCAGAAATCACAAACCAGTCAGAGTGAATTTCATTAGTTGAAACTTTCAGACTGTTTTCAACCAATGAAATTTGCTCTGACAGGTTTGTGATTTCTGCAGAAACAGGCCTTATAATTTACGGATCAGTACAACTGTACCGTCCGATCGCCTTCAGAAAAGTGCTTTGCAGAACGACAGGAAGGAATGACATGACATTGAAAATAATCCTGAGAAGTTAGCTACGATCTACGGAGCATGGATTTACCAATATACCGAACCTAAGGGCATGTATACAATATTAACTAACTTAAATTTATTTACATCTTATTACTAAACCTCAAAGGTAGTCTCAAGCTGTAACATTGTAAATATTGCTACTCAATAATCTTACAAAATAATAATAATAATAATACATAGTTAAGGATTATCAGCTAAAAACAGTATTAAGTTTGGCAAGGTTACAAACTGAAAGAGGTTGTCTGATAAAAATACGTTTCACCAGTTAAGCTACGTCATGAACAGTTCCGTACTACCTGCTTTTCCATTTTTAAATGAAATTTACAACTAAATACCAAGTAGCTTCAAACGCTACACTTTATTTGTAGGACATTTTATTTAAGTGATATTTACCAGGCTACTGTTGAAAAATCAACTGGTTATAAATCATTTTTTATGACCCAGTAATTGCTACATGTTTGAGTGGGGGCACACCCTAGGCCAAACCATTTATTCTGTCGGACAAAAATGTTGTTTCGAGTTTATAAAACGTGTCAACATTTCGCTACAAAATTAACTGCATTTGCATATTCACCAAATTGACATGTTTTACACCTGCGCACTCTGTCAGCTACCTTTTTTCGCAATTTTCGCAAAAGAAAATTTGGACCTCCCATCAAAATGAAGATGTTCATGAAGATTTAGCCGGTTATTAATGAGAAAAGTTCAATCGTGAAATCGGCATCTTTTGAGCGTAGGACTGGAAATAGTTACCTCTTTATTTGTAGGACAGTGTGACCATTTAATTGTAGTAATACATATTTACTAATCTACAGTGAAAAAATTAAATGATTATAAATTATTTTTTATGTAACGTTATTGCTACATGTTTGAGAAGGGGACATCGTAGACCAAATCATTTATTTTGGTGGACAAACGTTGTTTCAAATTATTTATAAAATTATGTAAACATTTAGCTAAAAAAATAACTAATATTAATAAATTTAGCATAATCACCAAATCGACATGTTTTACACCTGCGCACTCTATTAGCTACCTGTTTTAGCAATTTTCATGAGGAAAAAGTTGGGCATCTCGGTAAAATGAAGCTGCTTTGAAATAATTAGTTTGTTAATAATGATTTAGAAAAAAGAGCCTCGGCCCCTGGACTATAAAGCTTTGAGAAAATAATAACAATTTTCGGAATTTTCCCCGATATTTCCGGAAGTATTAGGAATTTCTCAAATTTTGAAACGGCATTTTGTTAACCAATAGAATGCGCAACTTTGGTCTAATTTGCCTTCCCTCGTATCTATAACGGTTACCGATATCCCCATGTTGACCCTCGAATTTGGGACACCCTGTATGTACAATCACTAGCTTATTGCTTACTGCAATGAAACATTCTGTTATAATATGGATGATTTGATCATTCACCACTTTTTTTTTTGGGAAATTTAAATTTTGATACTTGTTCAATAAATTAAAATTTATATATTTTTGAGGTGACACGGCTAGATAATGCAAGCGGTTTGTGTGATTGTGCTCTGATTTGCATTGTCTTACAGACAACAATTTTCGATTCAGAATTTCATCACATTTTACAAAATACAATTTTTAATATTCCTGACTCAAACTATAAACTAAATAATAATTACTTGGCAGACATCTCCAAAAAACATATTTTGCAGTTTCTGTTCAGTCGCATTAGTAAGCTATGCTTTGCTTAAAAAAAACTCGAACGTCGATTCAAAAATATTCAACCTTTTTCCTCGACTAATTATAAGCACATAATTCTAGTCAATCTATACCTAATTGAATATGACAATCAAATTATTGCTTCCCTATTATGTTTATCAGTTCATAAAAAAAAACAATTATAATAATATTCTCCATAACTTTTTTAAACGGTAAACTTACCTTCGAAAATATTAAAAATTTAGCTTTACATATAAATTTAATACCGAATTTTACTCAAACTTCAAACGAATAAGGCAATTTATTCTTGATTCATATATGGAAACGCGCCTCAATAAAAACACGAAAAATGCTGAAGCGCTGAAACCGTTAAAAACTTTATATAAAACTCCTTTGGAGGACACGCAAACTCGAGAGTTATTCAGTTCAAACTGCCAAGTAGGGCTTGAAATTCTGTTTAGGGAGCGTAAATCGGTGCATCTCCCGACCGTTCCCGAACGGTAGAAGCGATTTTGATGAAAGGTCATCGGGATGCGGGATGTTAAAAGCAATAGAGCACATTTTTGGGGTTACAGGAGAATGTTTGTAATGCGATGATCTTGGTTTAACAATCAACGGTTTAACTTTATCACTGGCTCAATACTACAGAACTTCTTAAAAACGTCAGTTGAAGTAACTTCCGATAGATGTTTTTCTTTAGTAAAAATGTCACAACTTTAAACGTCATAGACGTCGAAAATGATCGTTTTGAAAATGCCCTAATACGAACGTTTTGAAAAAGTTTTCAGAAAAGAATTTTCTCAAGCGTCTTTTGGAACGTCCACTGGCGTCTAACGACTAACGAGCTGCAAGCTCTATGGGCTATTTTAATATTATTTTTAGTACAGTTCACCTACGGTGGTTGGCATTAAGAATTTGGAACGAAGCAAAACGTTTTCCAGAGGTTTTTTTTAGAGAACGTTTTCAGTAATGGTTTTAAAATGATTGTAAAAACGTCCTTGAACAAACGTTCATAAAACATTTTATTCTAGTCTTCGGACATTTCGACGTTGGACAGACTTTAAAAAAAAAAATCATCGTGCCTTTTGTGTTACTAGGAAAGTTCATAGGTAATTAAAGTGTATCTCATTACAAAACTGTAAACATTGTTGAAATCTAGCACGGTGTTTCTGCAATTTTTTTCTGAAGTTTTTTTTTTCATAATAATAAGGTACCTTCACATATGTATAGCAGTCGCGCTACTTGTGTCATGTAAAATGATTAATAAAAGAAACAAGTAACCACATTTTTTTTGGTCATCACTGGTAGAGATCTGTAAAAAATCTATTAAAATACGATTATGATTTTTATCAAGATCGTATAAGTCCGGGACAAGAAAGAAAATTGGGCGGTCCTTAAGATATGTACGTACCGCCCGGTTTTCTTTCTTGTCCCGCACTACACTTACAGAATTGATTCTAATGATTGAAGCCATTGCGTTTTTTCCTTTCCCAATTTCACACTTTCATAATCCTGAAAAAAAAAAAAAACAAGAAAAAACAAACCTGTATGTTGCGTTATACATTATACACAATCATTAAAACGACACTGAAGCGATTCAATAGAATTCTATTTTGCCGTATCATTTCTCGTGGTTTTTCTCGTGCACAATAAACTGCTCTTTCATCCGATATTACCCTGTGGAATTTTGTTCGATTTGAACCATTTTTTTTAGGAGAATACTAGAAAAAAAGCGAAATTAATTTTTTTTCCAGTGCTATCTGAAATTATAAATTATTTTTAATCGTTGCTTCTCGGGAATAAAAACGGAGACAATGATATAATCTCCGACATTTAATTTTTGGGTCTCATGTTCTCTGTTGAAAGTTGTAAGTGTGATGGTTTACATTATACTAATACCTGTAATTATGCTGGTTAACAGCCCCAACAGAGTACGTGAATGTGAATTCATCTGTGAAACAAAATGTTATAATAGGCCAGCATTGTGCCAAATTTTATGTAGAAAAGTTTCTCAATTGTTGACGAACGAATATTTTAGCAGCTCTATTAGTAACAGAGCCGAAACGATTCTATATTTTTATTGTGCAATGAACCAGTTCCATCAAATTTACTGACAGTTTCATTATTCGAACGAATTTCGAGTTGCTGCTTTAGCGCAATTGACCTTTTGTTTTGACGCCATATTGCGGTGCGCGAACATAGTTGCCAAAACAAGAATACCAAAAATTACTAGCGGGCTGTCAACTAGATATTTTATTATTTCTATTCTGCTCAATACAAGTTAAAATTGATGGTTTTTCTTTCCAAAAACATTCGTAATAGGCGGTAAATTTAAATTTTAAATGTAATTTATTCATTAACTTTGGATTTTAAAGTTGACAGAACGCTAATAAATTTTTTTTTCTACTGTTGGCAACTATGTTCGCGCACCGCAATATGGCGTCCAAACAAAAGGTCAATTATTCAGCGCAATAATTATCCATAATGTAGGAGTGCGTTCCTGTGTTTTAAAAAAACAAACCATTGTCAACATTATCACTAACGAGAACATTTTGGATTAATTTTCTTCGCTTTTCCGTCCACGGATGCGTTTTGATCTATCAGATCTCATCAGTGCGGCTAGGAAAGCAAAGAAAACCAATTCAAGTTTAGTGCCTGCAGGCAAAGTAGAAATTACACAAAGAGCGAATTTTGATCGTGGCGCCATCTAATCTAAATTAATCCAAACTTTTCACATCAGTGGATAATAGGAGAAAACTTGTTTTCCCTATTTTGAGTTTTCCCAACTAACTGATTTTTGGTCGGCCTATTAGACGGTCATTACTTTTCAGCAAAAGTGCTGTTTAGTGCTGAATCCTAGTCTTAAATGGCGTCACTATCAAAATTCGCACGTCGTATTATCACTAAAACTATTACCTAGCGAATATTACAAATAATTATTTAAAGCATTAAAATATAGCTCTTCACTTCACCACAAAAGAAGGCAGCATTTAGCATTAAAAGGTATATACGGTATTTTTATGTTATTTTTCATGTTGAATATTCCACAGATTAATATCAGCCTTCTCTAAGATTGCTAAACATATTATTTTTTTTTTGAAAACGGTATATAGGTGGTAGACGCTTTTTACTCATTGGGCGTCGACCGGTGAGATACCACCATGCCAGAATTGAGTAGCGCTAAGTGGTATCACCACGTTCCGCTACTGCGCTGGCAGTCCGGTTCCAACAATGAGTAACAGATAGCATGATGGCGCCTCCAGGATCAAAATATTCCGGAGGTAAAATACCCGACCACTCGGATCTCCGGGCGTCGGGTGATCCTGGGGGTCCTTCATGCAAAGATATAAAGAGAAAATCAAAAACTCAACTCAGAATTGATTTTAACAATATAAGAGGAATAAGTACAAATATGAATTCAGTTCACCAACATCTTGAAGAACAAAGACCTGACATCCTTGTTCTCACTGAAACTAAAATCAGTTCTGCAACACCTATTGTGAACTATCTTTATCCCGGCTATGACCTACACCACCGATTTCGACATAATTTTGGGATCTGTGTGTACATTAAAAATGACCTTTCATGTCATCGAGAGGAGAAGCTAGAACCAGCGAACCTTGATATCATATGGCTAAAATTCACCTCAAAGTCATCGACCAAGTTTATCTGCTGCCTCTAACACCGAGTACCAAAACTTTTTCGCGACATTATCCGAAAGCTGTGATAGTATACAGTCAAACTATCCACAGGCGGAAATTGTCTTTTTAGGCGATTTCAACGTCCACAATATACCCTGGCTGAAACACCACAACAAAACAGATAACGAAGGCAGAGAAGCAGAAGCTTTTGCCATAAGTTGTGGTCTAACGCAGCTTGTCGATGAACCTACCCGTATCTCAGAAAGGGGCGAATTTGCAGCGCTATTAGACTTGTTCCTAACCACAAATCCTGACTCGTACACAATTCAAGTAGATGCTCCACTTAGTTCGTCCGATCATAAACTTATAATAACAAAGTGCGAAATGCTCATCCCACCAAGCCAACAACCACTTCCTCGTAAAATGTGGCACTATAAATCGGCAAAATGGAATGACCTAAAACAGTTTTACCTGGATTTTCCATGGCAAGAGGTTTGCTTTAAAACAGCTGATCCCACTATTTGCTGTAATGAAATAACACAAGTAATCTTATCTGGAATGGATGCATATACCCCACATACAACTAAACGTAGAGCTAATGCAAAACCTTGGTTCAACAGCCAGTGTCAAACGGCTGTACAGAAAAAACACAGAGCATATAACCTTTGGAAACGACAACAAACCGCTCAAAACCACACAGAATTTATAGAAGCCAGAAATAGTTGAAAAATTACTATTGATTCCGCTAAAGAAACATACAGTCAAAGAATAAAAAACAGGTTGCTGAATTGTCCTAGTAGTTCTAGGTCCTTTTGGTCTCTTGCAAAAGCTGTTGGATCTAACTTCACCAAGTCATCCATACCACAACTTACAGATAAAAATAATCACTTAGCCACAACATCAGAGGAAAAAGCCAATATGCTGGCCCAAATGTTTTCCTCCAACTCCAACCTAACAGTGCCAAACGGAAAAACTCCACCGTTCATTGAAAGGGTTTCCCATAGTATGCCAGAGGTACCCTTTTGTCACAGAGAAATACAAAAATCCCTTAAAAAGCTAGATACAAACAAAGCAATGGGTCCGGATGGCATTCCCGCAATAGTACTCAAAAATTGCGCCAACGAACTCACCCCAACTTTCGCAAAATTATTCAATTTTTCTTACAGGCAAGGAGTATATCCATCATCATGGAAGTCTGCCGCAGTACAACCCATTCCAAAGAAAGGAAAAAAGACAGATCCGTTAAACTATAGACCAATTGCTCTACTTCCGGTAATATCAAAAGTAATGGAAAGAGTTGTGAACAATCACCTAACCAAGTACTTGGAAAAGTACAAAATTATCAACGATAAGCAATACGGATTTCGAAAATATAGGTCAACTGGCGATTTACTTACATACGTCACTCACTTATGGCAAAAAGCGATTGAGTTTCGAGGTGAAACAAGAACAATTGCCTTAGATATATCTAAAGCATTCGACAAAGTTTGGCATGAAAATCTGCTCAACAAGCTCAAAGCAATGGGATTATCGCCGAAACTTTGCACTTGGTTTGAAAGTTACTTAAAGGACAGATCCATTTATGTTGCACTGGATGGCCAGAACTCCAACTCTTACCAAATAAATGCTGGTGTGCCACAGGGAGCAATCCTTTCGCCAACTCTTTTTCTGATTTACATAAATGACCTCATAGATAAAACAGTAAATCCACTTTATTGCTTTGCAGACGATGGCAATGTAGTCTCCTCACTCATACCACCCACAGGTCTTTCCG